GATAGGTTATGGGCTTATGGCATATGGTTACTGGATCCAAATTTGAAATTTGAGACCTGCTAGTTCTGAGAGGTGCCAACATTGAGATTCACTGAGCTGTCCAGATTATGGATCACTACAGCAAGTCAGTAAGCAACTTTCAGGACTAATTAGCATTAATAAACACAACCTGATAGAGCACTGCAGTACCATGAACCATGATGTCTGGTAGTGGAGGCCGAGGGCTGGACACTACCTTCTGACCCTCTGTGCTATTCAGGTTGACTCTGGGAGCCCTAGGGTTTCAAAGTGGACACTTAGTTCAGGCCAACTTTCATGCATGAACCTACAAGCCCCAGTACAAGGTACTGAGGATGACAGAAGCATGTCCAATTATCTGCAGCGGAAATATAACATATACTTTTCATTCATAAATCTACAGTTAAGGAAGAGGGAGCATGTCCAACAATCTGCAGTGGAAATAAAAAGTCGCAAGGTGTTACTCGAAAAATAAACCTACAGTTATCGGTGCATCGCATACCTCAGGAACAAAGAGTTCTATAAGAAGAAGAAAGAAAAATCCAGAGTGCTGTTGAGGAGCATACCATTTTAACACAATTCAACTGTATTAGGGCCAGGGGAGATATTATCAGTTCCTAGCCCCTCCAAGTTTTCTAGAAGCTTGATATGGAACATGCCCGGGCGCGACTTGAAGCAGCACATTCAGTACATGAGACATTGGATATGTTATGGGCCTTACAAGAGCAAGAGAGAGTTGTGATTTTAACCATGTGGTGGCAGTGGTGGCAGAACCGTAACAAGGTACGAGAAGGCGAGCTTCCTCTGTCAGCCGAGGAAATCGTTCGGCGAACGAAGAGCTATAGTCTTGAATATGCTGAGTTTTTTGGCAAGGATGTGAAAGCCAAAACTGGCACACGCTGGAGACCGCCACCTGGTAATATTCTTCATGCAGGTGCAGGAAGTACCAATGCTATCTTTGATGCTTTTGGGGCCGAGCTAAGAGCAATGGAATGTGCTATCACCATAGCTGCTGATCTTGGCATGCTACAGGTGGCTTTTGAAACAGATTCCAAACTGCTAGAAGAAGCGCTGGACTTTGCCCGTGCCGACTCGTCGCCATACGCTCCAGTCATCGAGGACCTGAAGCTTCAAATGAAGATGTAGTTCTCATTCAGCGAGGTCCGAGCGTGTCGTCGTGAGGCCAGTACTTGTAGCCCACGAATTAGCTAAGATTGGTCAGTGTTGTTTTAATTCTGAATCTCTGTACTGGGAGTCCGATGTTCCGCCCATTGTGGCTGGCTGTGCTATGGGTGATATGCCCACGCACACGTAAGCAATAAAACTTTGCTTCCCCTAAAAAAAAAAGTTTTCTAGAAGCTACAACGTCTGCTCACTATCGCTGACATGAGAGGGAAATCAGGCCCCATCTTTTACACACGGTAGAGAAAGAAAATAACATCATGTAAAAGAAACATCAGTAAACAAACAAAAATGATTCCAGCAGGAGGTTACAATGAGAAATTTCTTTGAGAAGAGAAAACTGAGATGGTAAACGTAAGCTAGCAGACACAAATAATATACTCCGTCCGGTCTAAATTTGTACTAAAGCAGCGACAAGTAATATGGACTAAAGTTGTACTAAAGCAACGACGAGTAATATTGGATCAGAGGGACTATGATAAGTTGCAAATTAGTGAAAAGGGGACATGTATGTCTCACTGTGTGACCTATTCCCAGTCCTAGGCCATAACAGCACCATGCCCTAACTGACGAACAAAATTTATTTCATGGCAAATGAAAATTACTTTACACTGAATCTATACTGTCACGCATTGGACAAGTATAACAGTTGTGTATTTGACTGCTGGCAGCTGCACCAGACACGTGTCTATGATAGGCCTAAACGATAACCTAACAACTGCGCATCAGCAATCACTGTTAACATAAATAAACGGTGTCAACAAGGTACTTATACAAAACGAGGCGACCTAATGCAATAGCGGTTTCGTGGTGTAGTTGGTTATCACGTCAGTCTAACACACTGAAGGTCTCCGGTTCAAACCCGGGCGAAGCCATATATTTTTTGGGGTTTTCTTTTTAAATTATAGCAAGAGATTATTTGGCTTCACAGCATCCTTTTTCCCAACGACCAAACTTAATAATTGACTGAACATGCAAAAATGTAAACCCATTTTCTTCTAACATACTGGAATAACTTGTTACTGGAATGAAATCAAGGCATGGCAGTAACAATCAACTAATCAAACACCAGCAGCAGCAGTCCAAATGCCCTCTGCTGTATGCATTGCACATGGTGCAGAATGCAAACTTGCCGTTTCTACCTTAAAACAGATCTTCAATCAAGCAAACAACATCCATAGTTGTCTGTACCATAACTGCTTTAAAACCATTTACCTTGGTTATAGTTATAGAGGCAAAAACTGTTCGATGTGGGGATCCTCCCATGATCTTCTAGTCTCTCCTGGACCTCAAGCGGAAGAAGATGCAGCTAGGGTAATCATCATCAGCGAACCTTCGTCTAACACAGCCTTAAGCCAACAAGCCCCGGCCTTCTGAATGTATATGCAATATTTGCCTGTTCAGAGAAATAATTTATACACAGGACTCTCCTTGAGTACGTCCCAACCTAATCCGACCAATGTGCGCCACCTGAGTGATTCCAGCAGCACCAGTGAAGTTTGCGCTGCAACTACTAGATAACGGGACAGTCAGATATGGCATATTGGTTACCTTTGTGGTTATGAAACTCTAGGACCTTGTCATTCTTCTTCTTAATTAGTGAGACGAGGCAAATCTTTTGCCTCCATTTCAAAAAAAAAAAAAAACTTCAAATCTGTTCGTTCTGACCTCTGAGAGGTGCCAAATACACTGGGTTGTCCAGATTATGGATCAACACGGTAGGTTTACCAGCAACTTTCAGGAGCAATTAACATTGATAAACACAAACTGATAGTGCACTGCAATACCAGGAACTGTAACATCTGGTAGTGGAGGCCGAGGGCTGCACATTACCTTCCAACCTCCTTTGCTACCTGGCATCACTTTGAGAGCCCCAGAGTTTCAAAGGGTACATTTGGTTCAAATCAACTTCCATGCATGAACCTACAAGCCCCAGTACAGGGCACTGAGGATGATGGAGCATGTCCGGTGATATGCAATGTTTCCATTCCTAAATCTACAGTTAGGGAAGAGGGGCATGTCCAATTATCTGCAATGGAAATAAAAAGTCACAAGTGTTACTAAAAAAAATGTACAGTTACCACTGCATCACATACCTCAGGAACAGAGTGTTTTATAAGGAAAAAAAACATGGAGAATACTGTTAAGCTGTATACCCTTGAACTCAGTTCCGTTGTATTAGAGAAAATTTAATCAATTTCCAACAGTTCCAAGTGTTCCATAAGCTCCGACCTCTGCTCGCTGCCGCTGACATGAGAGGGGAACCAGGCCCCGTCTTTTACGCACGGTAGAGAAAGAAAATAACATCATGTAAAAGAAACATCAATAAACAAACAAAAATGATTCCAGCAGGAAGTTACAATGAGAAATTTCGTTAAGCAGACAAAACTGGGACGGTAAAGGTAAACTAGCAGACACAAATAATATAGGATAACTTAACTACTCCCTCCTATCCAAATTAATTGACGCAGCCTCTATACAATGTGAAATGGACATTGTATAGAGTCTCCGTCAATTAAGTCGGATCGGAGGGACTAGCAAATTTAGTGAAAAGGGAACCTCTGTATGTGCTCACTGTGTGACTATTCCTAGTCCTAGGTCATAACAGCATCATGCCCTAACTGACGAACAAAATTTATTTCATGGGAAACGAAAATTACTTAACACTGAACCTATATTGTCACTTAGTGGACAAGTATAACAGTTGTGTATTTGACTGCTGGCAGCTACACTGGACATGTATCTATGATAGGCCTAAATGATATCCTAACAACTGCACATCAGCAACCACCGTCGACATAAATAGAGCTGTGTCATCTAATTTTCTTTCATGGAAGTTTCTGGGTACTACCATATGAATTCTGAAAAAAGGTACGTACACTGCACAATGAAGTTCCTCACTACCGAGTTTTTAGAGCATTCAGCGTTTTTTAATGAAAGTTAATGTGAATCTTAAAACAAAAGCAAAATATAAATGGAGTGCTGGGGATACCAGCTTACAAAAGTATCAACAATTCAATGAAAAAAAAACAGCCACTGATTGATATTTCAGCTACAAAACAAAAACCTGTAAAGTGAAACACACAAAGTCCGGCATCCCGAGACTAGACTACTCATTCCCGCAGAATAACTGCTAGAAGATGCAACCAGTCCACATTCTAAAACAACAACATAAATTTGTGAACTATGCAGAACACCTTGTTTAAATTTCTAGGTTATATGATGAAGCATATCTTTAAAGACTCACCTGGCACGGAAACAATTCACCAATTTATCTGCATCTCTTTCTTGATAACATTACATGGATGAAGTGATAAACTGGTAATGGCATGTTCAGGTCTGCCATGGATTTCATAATTTGAACAGATTTTTGGCAATCAGAGAATTGGACCTTCCACAGAATTATAACAGGGCCTTCCACAAAAGCATAACAGAGCAATTCTTTGGAAATGTTATAGCACATGAAGTTTTAAAATTAACATTGGAAGTCACCCATAAAACAGTCACAATGATAAACTAAAGGGAGTGATTGGAACCAAAATGGGACCCTAATTTTGTTACAAAATAATCACCTTACTAGTTGACATACACACACCTACAATCATAATCATGTACACCATTTGTCAAACCCCATAGTTTCTTCATGGAGGACAAAATACAAATGATACAACACTACAAGGTTGAGGTAAGAATATCACCATTACTGAGGAACAGATATTCACCAAGATCCCTGCCAGCAACTTAACAAATCTCAGAGAAAAATAGATTATCACCGGAACCACAAGGTACTGATCAACTGATCACTTTGCTGCTCCTTCAAACAAGTGCTGGATATGTGCCTCGACATCTTCTGGGGTGTACTTGATGTACAAGTCACGTCCAGTTTCAGGAGCTGATTTTAACCTGTTAATCAAAGCCGCATATGCTGGCATCACTGAATCCTCCACTGCTGCCCTAACGTCCATTCGCAACTGATCATCAGCTACCACCCACTCTGATTGTACTGCATAGATCTCCTCAAAGTAGGTATTAAACATCCGCAATTTCTGCAGCATTGCCTTGGCTGGGAGTGCACCAACACCAGAACCACCAATCTGCAGCACAGTTGTAACCTTGCCCCATGTTGAACGCTGATAATCCATGCTCCAGCGACGCACTCTAGTTGACAACTGCTTGATCCAGTCATCGCCGAGTAGAACACCTAGCTCGCTGTCATTCACTTTCTGGATAATGTACTTGCCATTGTTCATCAAGAAGATGCAAGCCAGTGAGGGATCTCGGTAAATCTTAGATTTTGCATCCAAATTCTTGTGCAGAACGTCCATGATCCATGCGATGTGCACAGCAAGTGAAGACGTGGGGCGGTCAGGGTCCACGGCAGCAGAAGCTCTACCGCCAGCACCAAGGTCGCCTTCCATCACCTCTTCCAATGTCTGCCGCGAACCGCATGCAGCACGGAGATAGTTCATGACATACCGAGTGATGGGGTGTATGCCACCACCAGGTGTGGCAACCCGGGCAGGGTCCCGGCGGATGAGATTTTCCAATTCCATGAATATACCTTTGATTGAGGAACCAAGGGTGTTGCACACTGCAGAGACCTCTGCGCGGAGTGCGGCGGAGTAAGGGTCCGAGAACACAGGGTCAAGGTCCGGGAGGATGTCCCGCACGGCCTCATACATGTCCACCACACGGAAGAGGCGCTCCGGCGAGCGGCTGGAGGAAGAAATGGCGTCGCCGAATGATATGAGCTGCAGCGCCTGAGTGCGCACGGCAGCAATAAAGGCGAGGTCGCCGAAGGGGGCGAGACCGTCGAAGACACGGTCGCATAGGCGGCGCTCGCTGGGGATCAGAATGCGGAAGACCATGTTGAAGGCTGGGATCCAGCGGGCGATGTCGAACTCCAGCTCCTCCCAGGGGGAGGCGTGGACCTCTTCGGCGGTGCGCGGCCGGACGCCGAGACGCGCGACGCTCTCGTCGACGAAGCCGCGCCGCGCGGCGGCGTAGGCCTCGGCGCACTCCCGGCCGAAGCCGGCGTCCACCATCCGGCGCGAGATCTGGTGCACGTTGGCAATGGAGCCCGGCGAGAGCGCGTCGATGACGACGTCGTAGTCGGTGACGGGCTTGGCGATCGGGATGGGCTCGTCGCCGTAGCCGTCCGCGCCGCCGTAGAACTCCTCGTCGTCGCTGCCGTCGGAAGCGAACCCGCCGGGCGCCGAGGGGGCCGCCTCGTCGGGGCGCTCGATGAGCGCCCGGAACTCGTCCTCCAGCCGCGCCATGCACCGGCTGAGCAGCTCGTCGGCGCGGTCGAGCAGCACGCGGTTGGTCCCCGCGGCGTCCAGCTCCTGCACGGTGCCGATGAGGTCGTCGACGGCCTCGAGGAAGGCGTCGGCGTCGCCCGAGTCGGCCCAGATCAGCCGGTCCATGGTGACGAACTGCGAGATCTGGCGGTCGAGCGTGCGCACGGTCCGCTCCATGGAGGTGACGGGCGGCCTCGCGGAGGAGCCCGGCACGGCGGCCGCGGGCGGCGGGGGCAGCGGCGGCGACGCCGGCATCGAGCGCTCCCCTCCGCCCCCACCTCCCCCGCCGCCGCCCGCCGCGGCCGCCACGGCGCCGCGCGCGGCGTAGATCTTGTCGAGCGACAGGCGGCCGTCGTAGTTGGAGAAGACCTTGAGGATGTCCTCCGTCATGGTGTCGCTGCTCCCGAGCGTCTGCACGATGTGCTGCACCGTCGCGAGCAGCTTCTCCTCGCCGTCCTCCGCCATCGCCGGCGCCCCGTGGGTGGGTGGGTGTGCGGGTCGGTCGCGGGAAGACGGCGTCCTCACGGGGGGTCTGCGGCTGGCTCCGATCTGGACGAGGTTTCCAGCTCCCCGCACGCGGCTTCGGGTGGTGGTGGTGGTTGTGGACTGCGGCGGGTGAGGCGATGACTTCCGTTCGCACGCGGTTGCTTGTGGCGGAGGACGACAGCGCGTGGACTACTGGCCGTCGTCTTTACTGGTAGTGGGCGCGGGACGGAAGCGGCCGCGCTCGGCTCGAGTGGTGGCTGGCAGTGCTCGCGTGGGATGGGTAACTCGCGGCGGACGGTCGGATGAGCCCGGCGAGAGGGACGAGTGGATGGTGAAAACGGCGTGGCCTCGAGGGAGGCGAAAGACAGCGGCCGTGGCATGCGCGACAGGATGTGCAAAGTGGCCGACGGGGAGAAAAGTCACCGAGGTGGAAATGACGGCGTGGCGTGGAGCAGTGGCGTGATTGACGCGGAGGTACGGGCCGATGGACTATGGAGGATGATGGACCATGGACGCAGACCTGGCCAAACGGGCCGGCCCGGCACGGCACGGCACGGCCTGTGCTAATCGTGCCTGGCCCGGCACGGCCCGCCATGGCACGTTTAATAGCCGGGCCGTGCCGTGCCGGCCCACGGGCGCTGCTCCTTGGCCCAGGCACGGCCTGATTAGTAAACGGGCCGGCCCGGTGGCCCGTTTAGCACGCTGGGCTGCACATTTTCAGCCTGCTGGGCTGATTTTTAGGCCTATTGGGCTGTATTTTAGGTATATATATATATAAAAATCTAAAAAATATAAAAAAAATTAAACGGGCCGTGCCGTGCCGGCCCGCGTGCCCAGGCTCCAGGCCCAGGCACGGCCCAAGGCGTGCCGCGTGCCGGGCACGGCCCGTTTAGCCCGTGCCGTGCCTGGCCCATGGCGGGCCGTGCCGGTGTGCTCGCGGGCCGGCCTGTTTAGCCCGGCCCGTTTGGCCAGCTATACATGGACGCTTGGGGGCAGACTTTGTGTTGGGGAGAGAGATTCAAACTTAAACTTTGAGGCGACTTGTACAGAGACAAAGTTGAAGATGAATCGAGTAAACGTTTTGCTTCGAAGGAGAGTTGCTGAATGGGTTGTTAAGTGCATCAGAGTACGAGGCACGTCATCTCTCGGAGAAAAGTAAGACGGTGTTTGATGAGATAGCCGACGAAAATGTGAAGGAAGCGGTGACGCACCACGGCGTTGGGAATGAAAATGTCGATGATGTGTTGTCATGTGCGCGAGCATGTTGTTGACGGTGGTGTAATTGTTTATGTTTCACACCAATAGATTGATTTGATCATTGTCACATTTGTGTTTCACATTCACTGCTTGAAAATCGGATACACCTAAAATAGAAACAGGCTAACCGTTGTGACATCAATGTAGATGCAAGGGACTGCCTCGTTGTGGTTACGTATGTCAGCCTTGTCCAAAACAAAGGAGTCTTTATCTCCTCTAGCAACTCCGCCGAGGTGTTCCATGATTATGACAGAAATCTAGAATCTTGAAAACTAGAATCTTTTCAAGATGGACAAAAATATGCACCCAACTAGCAGTCATGTTGTTGTTACCTGATGTAGAAACCTGTGACAACATTGTCCTAAATCCCGATGCTTCCAAGTCCTATGATGTTTGTGTTTTAACAACACTACAACAATTGTTCTAGGTAAATGCAATGCATATATGTACGTGGTGTATGCTACTACAAACCTAGCAACAGTTGGGCTCTACTCCTTTCTCGACCTTAAGGATGCATGGCTGCTTCTTTGTGAACTATGATCATATTGGGTCTGTCTTCTCATGCTTAAATAGGAACTTTACGAGATATGGGGCAACCACCATGAGACGGATAATTTAATGCACTTCAATACCACTGTTGAACACATGGGCATATATGCCTATATTGTTGTGAGCATCCCCTTGAATGAAGTAGTACATATGTATGTGATTTGATCTCACTGAGTGAAGTTGGCAGTGTAGCTTCTCTAGAGCACCACGTCGTGAGAAAGAACTTGCATTCATCATCTCAAGTTGCATCATCAACAACAAGTAGAAACGAGAATGTATTGAATAGAAACCAATAAGTCAATATTTGGTACAAGCCATGTATAGTTTCCTCTATTTGAATGAAAGGAGTGTTGACCGTAATTGGTAGGCATGTGGTCTTCCATAATTGGTCTCCCTAAGGACCGACACCTTGCAGAGTGTCGATTGTGTGGTCGTGTGTGATCATGTTGCTTGCGGTAGAGAACAATAGCACATGGACTGGTCATCGGCGTTACTGGTTCGTAGTAGGCACGGGACGAATGAGGTCGCGCTCGAGTGGTGGCAGTGCTCATGTACGATGGGTAACTTGCGGCGGATAGTCGAATGAGTTAAGCCAGAGGTATGAGTGGATGGTGAAAACGACGTGGCCTTGAGAAAGGCGAAAGCCACGGGCGTGGCATGCGCGACAGGATGTGCAAAGTGTTTGAGAGGAGAAAAGTCACGAAGGTGGAAATGACGGTGTGGCATGGAGGAGGGGCATTATTGGCGCGGAGGTTGGGGCAGTGGACTACGGATGGATGCTTGGGGGTAGAGTTTGTGTTCGAGAGACACAACAAATTTATAAACTACTCGAGATTCAGACTTAAACTTTTGAGGCTACTTGTATAAGACTAAGTTGAAGATGAAACGAGTAAACATTTTGCTTCGAAGGAGAGTTGATACACGGGTTGTTATGTGAACTAGAGTACGAAGCACGCCATTTCACATAAAAGTAAGTCGGTGTTTGATGAAATAGCAAGCGGAAATGCAGAGGAAGCACTGAAGCTCCATGGCGTCGGCAGTGAGAATTTGCTTATGTGCTAGTGGAATACATTTTTCGCGTGTGTGAGTATGATGTTGATAGGGGCACAATTTTTTTCTTTGATAATTGTCAGTTCTTCACACTAATAGAATGACCTAGTCATGTGGTTATATGTCAAAAAATAAATTGAAAATTTTCTTTCACATTCACTGCTTCAGAATATGGAACATCTACGATGCAAAAAAACTAATTGTTGTGACATCATTTTAAAAGTAGATTTTTTTTACTCTGATGGCATGTGTCAGATTTGCCCCAAAACAAGGCACCCTTATATTCTCTAGCAACTCAGGTGAGGTATTCCATGCCTATGGAAAAAATATAAAATGTTGAAAATAGACTATTTCTGTCATGATGTCATGGACGCCCTCTCAAGGATGGAGAAGAATCTGCGTCCAACCAACCATCATGTTATTATTTCATGATGTAGAAACACATGACTGATGCTTCCAAGTCCTATGATGTGTGTGCTTCAACAACACGGGAACAATGATTCCATTTAAATGCAATGCATATATGTTTGTGGTGTATGCTACTATGAACATAGCAACAATTGGGCTCTACTGCTTTCTCAGAGTTAAGGATGCATGGTTGCTTCTTTGTGAACTATGATCCTATTTCGTATGTCTTTTTGTGCTTAAATAGGAACATTATGAAATATGGTGCAACAACCATGAGACAGATGTTTTTACGCACTTTAATACCACCATAGGGAGCACATAGGCATATATGCTTATGTTGTTGTGAGCATCCCCTAGATGAAGTAGTCAGTGGCGGACCCAAAGTTAGCTGGCGCGAACATTTTTGGTTGAATTTTTTAGGTACAAATGCAAATCTATTCAACCAAAGTCTGTGCATCCGACCATGTACCTTTGTTGGTAAGAGGTGGAGCAGATGATCATGTCCCTTCGCTCGGTCTCGACAGTATGAATGTTTTGGGAGTCGAATGCAAGCCTGTCGTAGGTGATCAAAAAATCATGGGATGCTTGTAGTGTTATGGATAATCTAGGCAACATGAGTGAGGCCTTGCGCAACACTGTGTCTTCCCTAAGGTAGTGGAGTAATAAAAAATGGCAACATCAAGAGAGAGATTAACAAGACCCACTCATGCCTTGAAGAACTTATAAATATGAATGCAGACAGGCAGGAGATTCGAATTGTTTCGAATAAATTAAATGAGATGTTATACAAAGAGGAAATGCTTTGGTTGTAGAGATCTAGGATCATGTGGCTCAAGGAGGGTGACAGGAACACCAAATATTTTCAGAGTGAAGCCGTGTGTCATACAAGGAAAAATAAAACCCGTAAGTTAACTGATGATGATGGTGCTGTGCACTCGGATATTTTTGTTTTGAGTAATATGGCTATGTCCTACTTTAAGGAAGTTTCCTCAGCCAACCCAAGTCTTGACGCTTCTAAAGTTTTGGGTCTTTTTCATGTTGTTGTTTCTTTCGAGGATAATGAAAAGCTACGTGGTGAATTTTCCGATGAAGAGATCTCGGATGCACTTTTCCAGACTGGACCTCTAAAGGCCCCTGGACCCGATGGCTTTCCTGCTAGATTTTTCAGCACAACTAGGATACTTTGAAAGATAATGTCATCAAGGCGATTAAGGAATTCTTTAGGATGGGTCTGATGCCTGAGGGAGTAAATGATACTTCAATAGTTCTTATTCCAAAGATTGCTAACCCATCAAAACTTTTAGATTCCAGGCCTATAAGTCTTTGTAATGTGATATACAAATTGGTATGTGCATGGTACTGATGACCCACAAGTATAGGGGATCAATCGTAGTCTTTTTTATAAGAGTGTTTAACCCAACGAGGAGCAGAAGGAATTGATAAGCAGTTTCAACAAGGTATTCTCTACAAGTGCTGAAAAGTGACAGTAACAAATAGTTTGATAGCGAGACAATTGATAGCAAATAACAAGTAACCAATGTAAAGGTGCAACAAGGTGGACCAATCCTTATATTGCAAAGGATAAGCAGGAAGTAATTCTTATATTAAGCAAAACGTTCTTGAGGACACATGGGAATTTCTTCTAGTTAACTTCATCATGTTTTAGTTGATTCGTGTTCACTACTTTGATAAGTTGTTATGTGGGTGGACCGGTG